TTTGCCCGATACGTATAATAGTGTTGTGAGAATTGAAAAATATTTCTCATCGTTTTCTCGGGACCAACGAGCAAACGGTGAGAGGGAAAACAAGATACAAAATTGCGATGGGAGGGGAGTGGAAAGAATTGTGGTAAACGGAGGCGTGCACTAGAGTAGAATTGAAAGCAAGTTTTGTGTCGGCCGCCGGGGTCAACAAATGGAAAAACTTTTTTGAAACCAAATTAACGGCACGGAACGGTGGAAAAAAAAATATAACCATATATTATATATTCAAATTTCATCACAACCACGGAGAATTGCAGTTTCAGTTTATAAGTCTTCGGCTGCCGAGGTATTTTCGTTGTACTTATTCAATATAAGCCTATCGTCGTTCCCGAAAATCTCATTTATATAATTTGTATATACTCAGCGCAGGTGGATTAGGGAAATAGAGTATTATTTTTGAAAGTCGGGTTAAGATTATGACGCCATAAGAAAATCACATCTTACGGGAAATTATACACGAGAGAGGAGGTGAAAAAATAAATTAATATACTGTCAAATTTAAATTTTTATAGAAGTAAATATTTAAATTTGTCAACTTACGTAATTTACATTTTTTATGCGCCAACGAATATTGTCGACACAGAGCATGAAAAAAAAGTTTTTTCGGTTGTTTTATTAATATTATTTTTTATTTTTTATTTCACTCCAGAGACTACCAATGGACTGATCAAAGTTTGTTGTTTGCATCCCTTCTGACGGTATTGACGATGATGATGATGATAATGATGATGATGATGATGATAATGTTGATACCGGTCTAATTCTTGACCATACTACCGTGAATACTGAGTACACGTACTTCAACCACGTTAGTGTAGGTAGTAACTAAGTTTATCCATATTATAACAGCAAGATCTACCGATGCACGAAAGTAAAATACTATTTATTTAATCCGATGTTGAATAATTTAACACTTTAAAAACACTGTGCAGTGTGATAATCACATGTAAATTAATTATTATGTATTTTTCACGACTTAAGTCAAATTAAATATTAATTAGTATCGTTTATTAAACTTATTCTCACAATTACTGCGTTAGGACTTTAAATTCATTTTTTTTTTTAATTAAATATATACTTATCAATATCTGTGCGATTGATATTTGCGTTATATTTTAGACGAATCAAAGCATTAGATAGATGGATAGATTGTCACAGTAAGATGACTCTAAAAGTTTTATTTAATATGATTTGTTTAATGCACAGATATTTTTCCGCATCTTCCTGCGTTTGTTGGTTAAATGGAAAATTAGAAAAAACCAATTTGCTCATTCTATATTAATATGTTGAATACGAGTAAAGGTATGAAAAAAATCGTAGCTTATTTTAATATGTGTCTTTAATTTTAAATTGTACATTAATCACAATGTGCTAACGATAAAAGTTTTTGAAAAATCGAGACTAATGATAGAGTGAATTCAAAAGTTAATTTTTAACTTTGTTCGTTGTTATTTTTGGTACAATAAATCCGATTTCAAAAAAATATTTTAGATTGTAAATATAATTAAAATCTGATATATGGAATTTAAACCAATACATTGTCAGTAATTATGAAAACAGTTCATTGGATTATTCTAAAAAAATATAATCGTTGAAAGATTATATCATATGAGTTTATCAACTTATGTGAAATTTGTTCATTTATATTATTTCTTTGTTGTAGCATTTATGATTTACAAATACCTACATGAATTAAATGTGTTCATGATAATGTTTTCAACAATAATTTATGATCATTCCCTAGACACATGTAGTTCTCTGAAGGTTTTCATAATAATAACACAAAAAGTTACAAAGTAATAAATGATAATCCATTATCAGTTTGAAAAAAAAACATAATTCAATCGACTAACACCTTATACAGATAAATATTTTAACATGGTTGACCTGAGTAATCCGTTGATCTTAAGGAAAGAAATAAACATTAGCTCGTTAAATGTCTGTATTTCAGAATAATCTTCAGTACTTGAAAAAATAATTGAATTGGTATTCAATCACATTATTGTATAACATTGAATAAAACTGCAAAATTCCTTCAATGAACCTCTTAACAAATGATCATAAAAGACAACAGGGTACTCAATTGTTTTTTTTATTAACTACTTTTAATACGATAAAATACATTTACTTTTTAGAATCAAACTGAAAAATAAATATTGAAGACGTAAACATAAATTCATGAAGGGTAAGTGCTTTGAACACACCATTTATAATGTATATAGATAAACTGTAAAAATATGCTTGAAAACGTGTAAACATAACAATAAAGCATCATTGAAAATAGATTTATTATTCATACTGTATTTGTTCGAAACCCAACAATGCAGATATGTGAATAAAATATAAAAATATGTGTATTAGTGTTAAGACATAGAATAATCGTTTTAGTATTATAAAATATTACTAATTTTAGTAAAAAAAAAAAAATATGTAAAATAAATGCCTATTAAATAAGAAAATTAGAAATCTATTGAAATAACTTACTGAATACAAACTATCGTTAAAAACAAATTCGAGCTTTAGATAAAAGAAATAAAGTGGTCAATTTTTTAATTGAATTGCACCAACGTTTATTGACTGTATTTAATTAAATACTATTACTTAATTAAACATTTAACATACCGATAAAGTATACAATCGTATTGTGTTCATTAGATGTAGATCCGAAGATACAATAAAGAATCTAAATTTAATTGAAAAAAAAACCGAAGTCGGTATATGTATTGTTTTAGAAAGTGCATTGTAAATGGTTTTGTTCAATTCTTTATTTTTCGAAAACGCAATTTGAAAGATGCTGTTTTGTTGTTTTTAAATTGTTTGAAAATATTTTCTGTACTTCGCGCAATGCGCCGTTATTATATGTTTAAAGTAAATCTCACTACGTGTCAGCGTATAAGAAAAATCAAATGTCAAGTACTATTTAACTGTCAACTACAATAACATTATCAAGCAGACGGCATTACCATAGCCGTTGTTGAAATTCTTTCAATAAAATATTATACTTATTTTTTTTTTCGTTTATTGTGTTTACAGTTTGTTTTTAATCATTGAAGAATCTGGAAAGTTACTATGGCGTTCGAATGCGTATGCACTTGTGTTATTTTTTGTAACTTCAATAAGTTGTTGGTACTTCTCTTCGATAGAGTGGAAGTTTAACGCTTAATTATTTAAGGTATTTGGGCAAAGTATACCTTATTAATTTCACTAGTTATTTATTATTAACTTATACATTTATTTATATATGAATACCGTGTATTCATAGGTTGTTCGGACATAATTATACTCGAAAAGATTTTTACATCATTTTGTAAATTATTGTAGTATAATCATAATATATGCTTTTAACATTTAGTTCAATTTTTGTGTTTAAAATTTTAAAACAGTTTTTTGACACGCAAATGTAATTTTTGTTTATTTAACTATTCAATGGTCATTTAGCCAAACACATTATAAGCTAACCAAATTCTTTTAACGAAAAATCCAGTGCGCTAATCCGGCTAATGTTTTGGCCAAGGGTTGGGTTAATTAACAATTTATCCTCGAGTTTGTCATGGACTGTTTGTTAAATTTCGTATTTCAACAACTAACAGTCATTGTAGTCGATTCAAATGTAAAATCCAACCATGAAAGTATCGATTATACGAGTATATTGATAAGATAAATTAAAATTAAAGTATTATCTCGTATACTTGATTGTAGACGTACGTTTTATAATCATGCATTATATTTTTAAATAGTGCATTGGACAATTGTTAAAAGGACAATACTTATACTTCACAGAGTGTAATTGTGTTTGTTTTTTTTTTTTGTGCAAAAAAGTATATCGGTAAGTACAGTCATGCTACAGGCATTTTTTTCATCAGTAAAAACCATCGATTTTACCGAACTCTGTATTCAGTCTAAAACAAGCATTCTATCAATATGGTTTTCATCATATCCCAAATAATTAACACGCAATCGAGGTGCACGAGTGCACAATTCGGTCAACAATTTTTATGCGTTTGGTCGTTAAAAATAAAAATGACATCTTGTTGTTTGATAAACATTTACGTTTCAATAGTGCTTTTTTCAACGTCGAAAACAATTAAAAAAGATTACACATCCCTTTTTGCGCATACTCGACCGCAAATCGTCACTACTATGCCAAGATAAACGTGTGACATGATCATTTAAAGTGAAAAAAACACTCTCCGAACTTCCAAGATTTAAAACCTCTCAGATAAAATGTAGGCAATACGAAAATATATTCATAATAATACGAACTTATAGTAGTGATACTATAGATCGCGTCGAGTAAAACTTGTGAACTACTCGTATTATTAATGAAATGGTTAATGTTATAAATACCGCTTGATCACTGGTATTGATTTTACCTCAAAAGCACTTAGGCACGGCGGTAGAATTGAAATAAACGCTTGCGAAACGCGGTAAATTATAATTTTTTTGATTCCTTATAGATGCCAACCAGTACATTCGCCTCGTTTCACTCGATAACTCTTTACATTTTTCAAATCATAATGAACTTGTTAAGGACCGAAATTTCACAGCGTCAGTGACGACAGAGCATCTTTTATTTACAAATATAAGTTAAGGCACTTGAACACTTTTGCAAACGTATTGAACTTCCTAATTTTTTTCATTTTTTTTTTTTTTTTTTACTAAGGAAATAAAAACCTAGAAGGTTAATCATGAACACAATACCTTTAACTGCGCAACTCCTGAGTTCTCCGATAAAGGAAATCAGGAATTAAAAAAAAAAAATCAGTAGTTAATATACACCATACGATTGGTAGAAACATAGGTTGGTGAACAATTTTATTGAAAAAAAAAAAAAAACAAATTGTCTAAATTATTAATTATCCGTTCTCTGAACAGTGTTTTCTTGAGGTAACAATTTTTGGTTTAATTTAGTAACATATAGTAATACATGACTGAAATTTATCATGTCATGTTTATACACTCTCCATACCGTCCAATTTCTTGGCTAAGCTCGATACAAACTCTTTGAAAATCAGGGGGTCAATGTTCTTACCCAACTGGTACAAAACAAACCAATCACCGATCTGGAACTTCTTATTGATAGTTTCTACTTCGTCTTTTGGAGTTAAACGTGATCTTGATCTCAACAACAGTAAACGGAATTCAGGCACGACCACAACAGCAGTGCGGTATACCAGATGAAGACCACTGAGCGCAGCAACAAACAAGAACCAGAACCACAAGAAAACGTAGATTTTCTCATTCACAATGTTGAGTGGCAACACACATAGACCGTCTAGTTTTTGGATCGAACCAGACGGACCATATTTATGGAATGTACACTTGGTGACTTTGGGGAACACCCGAGCCATGGGGTCTCCTCTTTCTTCGGGTTCCATTTCAGTGAACTTAAGAACGTCTGTGCCGTATGTACTGAACTCACCGTCGAGAAAGTGATCCATGAAGCATATCTGAGCGATGACATTAACAAAATTGAGGAACTCGCACAGGAAGAATCGATTGGCGTAGAAGTTCTGCAAGTGCAGGTTGGTGGAAAAGTAGTCGACGAGCAGTTTTTTGCGGTCGGCCTTGCACTCCTCGCTGATGATCGGACAGTTGAGATCGAGGATGAGCATTTTGACGCGGCCGCCCTCCCACGACTTCCACATGTACCTGGGCAGGTAGAAGAACATGGCCTGAAAGAGGAGCACGAAGCACACCCACTGGTAGTACTTGTGGTACTTGACCTCGTCCTCGCCATCCACGTGGGACCGGACGCCGGGCTGGACCACGTCCTGGCCGACGCGGCCGTTGACGCGGTCGGGTAGCGTGAACGTCGAGTAGATCCAGCAGTACGTGTCCATGATGCTGAGCGGCACATCGTCGACGATGCAATCGATCGGGTCGCCGATGTACTGACGGGCCGTGACCAGAAGCGAGAAGGCGACCAGGATGATGACGGTCGCTTTGTAATGCAGCCGAAAGATGTTGTTGTCGATGCACACGTCGTCGATCTTCAGTAGCCCCTTGACGGAGCCGAAAACATCGAACATGGCGGCGTGGAGATGGAAAAAGACTACGCACAGACGGACAAGCGGTTGAGGGTCTGTTGTGACGGAAAGAAGAATACGGAGTGTACCGATTGCAATAATGTATTTTCGTTATCCGTCTCCTGGAAACAGCGTGTGCACGCGCGAGTATGTGTGTTTATTGTCACGCACACACGCTGGCGGCAGTAGCAGCTACAGTACCGGTGTGGATCGTTCTTTTTTTCTTTTTTTTTTTTTTTTTCAAAGCTAAGAGAGTACGACGACGTTGACTGTCGCGCCGTGACGTTGAACTCGAACACGCGCACGTCGATAAAGATCGGTCGTTTCTCGCTGGGAAAAAATTCGCTGATGAGTACGGGACGGGAAAACGTCGTGATGGACTGCCGATTTTTCGGTGTCGACATCGGCACCGGACAGGGATTTTTGGAAATCCGCGAGGCCACGACGCCCAATCGATCCGTCCACCCAATCGCGTTTCGTTATTGTTGGCCGTATCGCGCGTTACGGCATTGAAAATTGTTCAGTTGTACCATTTCTCCTATAGCGTGCTCCGGCCGTGAAAAGATACTGGAACCGTTATTGCGTTAGGTCGAGTTGTTACGGCGCGAAGTCGTAGCATCGGTTTATCGGAAACCCGTCGAGGTCAATAATTTCACGGGGGTGACATTACAGTGCACAATAACAGCGCGCGGTAATTATATTCACGACGAATCGCGTCTTCGCGCAAGCTGTGTATGCACCCGAAATCATTGGCACGCATATGAGAAGTGCTGGGCACCTCCAGTTTATTTTGGGCCAACGAGTATTCTATGGAGTAGATTGTATAAATATTAATTTTTTTTTTCAACGGTCATGAGTTTATTCCAGATTGACCGTTGGAAATACATTTGTACATCAAAAATAATATCGAGATTACACATAGATCTAGAACAAATGAACATAGCCGTTTTGACGTGGGGATAAATGGACGTCATAAAAAAAAAAAAAAAAAAGTATATATATATATATATATAAATCAGTATATAAAATAAATAAGTTATTAATATTTATTATAGTATGTAAATTTTAATGTCAAAAATATTCATTCAAAAAAACTTCACCATCGCGATTTGAATTAATTAATGACATCTTACATATACACTTGGATGCAATTTGTATACGACTAACATGGTTATAGATATGAATTGTCGTGTCTCGTTTATCACCGTGTTTGGATAAAGTGTGATAATTATTACAAAATGTAAAAACCAATAAGTTATAAATATTGATATAAAAGGTATCTATTGCCAAAACGATAAAATTCGATAAGATTTGATTTTATGATACCATACCATTAGTTATATTATGAACATAAAATATCAATGGTTTTATAACATATATATATATATATTTTTTTTTTGCCGTCCATTTGTCCCTATTCGATAGATTGAGAAAATTAATGATTCTAAAGAACTTCATCGCACTCGAATTGTATGTGCCACACGATGTTGTGTTCAAATAATAAAAAAATAAGTTTTTCCTAATTGGTTTTATATTATTAAAGAATGTGTATCCGATGTGCGAGCGAACGAGTGATTGGAAGTTAGTAAATTTTATATTTCTTAGGCGTAGGATTTTAACCGTTGAGTGACTAATTTTAGCATCCCCAAGTTTAAGTCAGAACTCATGACTTCATCGTAAATACGACAAAACCATATCGCGATTATGACCTGTAAGAAAGGTATGAATGAACTCGTAACATTATCGGTTGATTATAAGACAACGGTATCCATGAAAAATGATGCACGGTGCAATCTAGAAAAAGGCGTTGTCATGGCTTACACGCACCGGGTAAATGCGCGTAACGATTACGCCAGATTGGGGGGCCGAAATTAGTATACAAACGAAATCAAGTGGAGTATTATTTTTTGTACTCGAAGAGGATTCGTTTTCTTATTTTTGTTTATAATTATTCGTCAATAAACATAAATTTCCACCGTCTTCGCTATGCGAATTTCGCGTGCGACAATCTAACACCTCGCGATTAAAAATGAATTGCGACCGAAGTGTTAACTCTATACATTATTTTCTCTTTTTTTGAATCCAGTCGCGCGAACATCATTCGGTCGGATTAACTTTGCGTTTTAATTTTACTTGGAATATATTAACCAAGTTAAAAATTCATTAACGCACAACGCTTAGTATGGTAAACTGTAATGTAAAACAGCGATATCTCGGCGAAACTTAATTCACCCGAAAATATTTCATAAACTCGGATAAACCATAATATCATTATAATATGGATTATGGATGTTGATTTCGATCCAAGACCGTTCGACGTGGTCTTTAAATCACACACGGTTACGATTTGTTCTTAAAATTATAATCACGTACGAAAAAAAAAACGGCTTATCGAAAACAGTATTATTGACACTGATTTATACAAACATTTTGATTTGGTTTGAATTATTCTTAAATTCTATTTCAGATGTGTTATTTTCGTAAAAATATTGTTTAAGTTAGCTCGCGCCTGAATTGAAATGTATGTAATTTTCGCCATTTTTATAAAAAAATTATTTATTATATATATATATATATATATAATCCGAAAGAACCTGACATATCTGTAACAATATTTTTTTAGTTGTCGTTTTTATGTGATAAAACAATTATTTGACTTGTATTTGCTTTCAATTTCTTGTAATCATTAAACGAGGACGACACGACGTGTAGAGTCTTGTAATCTTATGTCTTCACATTATGCAAGTTCGTTTCACTTGTTTTGAAACAAAGTACATTTTCTGGAATACAACGCATATAAGTCATAAGTCGAACGTGAGTTCGAGCGAAATATTCTGTGTTCAATTGAAAAATTGATATTATCAACAAAAATAAAAAAACCGAAAACCTCTTGTTATTTGTTATGTTTAATAATAATAAGGGAAAAATATTCCGGAGCTGTGAGCTGTGACTGCCAATTATTGTAAGGTATATCCGTCATACAAACGGTTTAAATCGTCTCACAACAAGAAACCATTACATCACTCCAACAGAAACCAAATTCCTAAAAATATCTTCAAAAGCTCAAAATCTCCATCAAACAAGGTCCAAGAAGTTTATGTTTCACCTCGGCATAAATCGTTTCAAATATGATACCACGATTCATTTCTAATTTAAATTATGTAATTGCTCTACTAATATACATCATGTTCCATAGTTTATAATAATTCACCAAATATTTAACAATTAAATAATTATAATTCATTATATTATAATTACATGTTATTGTGCTAACAATCTAATCTCACAATAAGTTATTATGTAATAATGTCCACCTAATTGTGCATTTAACTTAACTGTCGAGCTTTTATAGTCTTTTACTGAAATTTATATAAATAAAAATTAAATAAATAAATAAAAAGAAAAACGTTGCTACAAGGAAGAATAAGTAACACTATACGTAAATTGTAGCTCTATATGTGATATTACTTTTGGACCTATGGACCCGAAAACGTTGTTAACAAAATATTATTTCTTACGAAAAGTCCAGTATTGATCATCGAATTTCTGTGCCGTTTTTGTGAAATAATTATACATCCGGTACAAATAAATTACTATTGTAGTGCAAATTATTGATTAGGTACGATGTATCATGTAGTTATTCGATTTGACGATGTCCACTATACAATAGACGTTGAGATTTCATATTTTTTATGTCCCATAGTGTCATTGAGTCAATTCAATCGGAACCGGCGTCGTATGCTCAATACGTATTGAAAACATTTACTCATAAATTAATTTTATGAATAATATTATTACAGACGTTTAAAACGTCGTACGATACGGACCGTATTGTTGATATATTTCCACTGGGGGTAAAATTTTCGATGAATTATCGTTGCTTTTAAACGTGTAACGACAACGGTCGTTTGACCGCTTTTTTTGTGCCTTTGGATGACAAAATGATTTTTATGTTAGATCGACCACAGAGTACGTAAATTCATAACAATTGTAACCGAGCGAAAACATCTTAGTCGTCCAATCAATTTAATGCGAAGTAAGCACGTCATATGCTAATCCACTAATGTCAACGGCAGAACCAGAAGATTACATAAAAAAAAAAAAAAACACCCTTGTGGATTAGCCGTGTTGAGTAATTTCAACTAATTAAACAGCGACTGATTCTTATGACAACTAAGATAATAATTTTAATTATAACGCGTTAAAAACCTTGATAAATTCAAGTTGGTAATAATAATAATACACGAATACCTATATAATTTTTTTTTGTAATAATTTATGATCTCACCCCCTTTGAACCCGTGATATATACAAAGAAGATATTCATTACTCCTGATTAAAATACTAAAATATGGTGGGGGTTAATTATTTCTATAAATTATTTTTTGATTGCTTGTCAGTGCTGGATTTGTTAAGGGAAATGAAATCTATTTCAAGTGATGATTAACACTACCGAGCTTCCATTACAAATACATTTTTTTTACATTTAATTACATTACAAAGGAGGAAAGAAATAATAAAAAAAACTTTGGATTTGAGTTTTTCGACAACTACATATTTCTACTACGTTCCAAATCGGCCATAGTTTTATTTCTTTCGGTAGCGATTAAATCGTTCTGGTGATAATACTTTAATATTGTTATTTTTCAAAGCTATGTTTAGCTAATTTTGAATGGATCACCCACTTCAAAGTTTACGCTGTGGCCTTACCGTATTTGGTGTTCCGTTTACATAGTCGGAAACAGAGAAACAATAGTTTCCATTGTTATTGTTCGTACAAGGAAGGCAATTTGGAATAGGGATATTTTGGTTAGATTCAAATTTTCAAGGATGTATTCGTGTCCTTTTAAGTCAAACTGAGACAAAGTTTTCAACTATTATGTAGTTTACTAATTGTTTAATTTGTTTTACTAGCGTAATTCAGTCATTCAACCAACCGTTCAATTGAACATTTCAAACTATTTACTAGGAATGTTATTTGAATCGTTGAAAAATAACATACG